CTCGAGTAACTTCCCCAGGCGGGACCGTTGTTGACGTGCCTGTCCCAGAGCAGCTGACCTTTCGTATGACCTTTTCTATTCCTCTGGATGACTTGGACGGTCCGGTTACCGGGCTAATGAACGAGGAAGACTTCGCTCGTTATCAAGAGATGTACCCGGACGATGAAGAGCTGGTTGTGCCGCCACTCATGCCGGCGTTCTGGGACTCGCTTTGCCCACCCTCTCCTGGGCCATCGGAAGGGTTCTTTGGAAGCGGCTCCTCCTCGCCGAGTGAGTGATCTTTGTGAACTGGGGTCGGCCGGATTCTTAGGGGTAGTTCTGTTAGGAGCACTCGCTTACTCTGTAATAAGCTCCTTGTAACCTGCACCTTCTTTATTTTATAATAAAATATTTCCGGCCTTCAGTTTTCATCTTTTTTCAGTATATTTAGTGCACCCGTCCGTCTCAATTGTCGAGGAGTCGGCTGCGATGTCGAGTCCTCCTTCCGCTTGACACCTGTAAATCTCACTTGCCAGGGCCGAGCCAGGCTTTTTCCAGTTTAGCGTGCGAATCTTCACCCTTCCCGAGCTAATTGGATGGGATTAGTCTCTGACAGAGATTCACGCTGCCCATCCAATCCGGCTCAGTTATGTCAGTTACGATTCCCTCCGTGATTTGCGCCTCGGTCGTTGCTCTCTCGAGGTTCTATATAAGGGCTTTTGGTAGCTCTGTGCTTTCTCACCATTTTACACCTCAAAAAACCTCAAGCTATGAGTTTCAGGGACGGTGATCGTCGTTGGTCCATCCGTAATAAGGAGCATGCCCGGCAGGAGGAGCTCCGGCGGAAGAGGGCGGCTAGCGGAGGGTACCTGGTGGGCGACTCCGCTTCTGATCCCATCGTGGTGCCTCCTGACATGCTTGATCCGATGGTCGTGGAACCGGAGGAGGACGAGATGGTGCCCATGGTAGAAGATCCAGAGCCAGAGGGGGATCTAGACTGGGAGGCTCCTCCGCTTTTTGGCGTGGCCATGTCGCCGAGTGCTCTGGAGAGGCCCCTGCAGATGGTCGTAGATGGGAAGCCTGCTGTGTATCTGGATGAACTGCCCGAGCCCGAGCCTGAGCCGAGTCCGCTGCCTTTCCGCCCCCACTACTATTTGGAGGGTCCGGAGCCGGTGCGTCACGCGGAGGAGGAGGAAGTTAAGCCCTAGGCCTGTCTTTTCTGTGTAATGCCTATAGCCGAGTCCTCGGCCTTGTACCCCTGTCTTTATGGAATAAAATCTCGTTTTTACTTTTCAGTCCCCGGTTTTGCGTGTTCCTTTGGCCGGCTCTTGGCCGTTATGACCGACTTGTAAACTCTGTCCGACTAAGTCCCGTGGGTGGGGGACTCGGCAAATTTTGTCGGCCGATCTTGCAGCCTGAAGCTTGTCCGGGCCTCTTTATTTGGCCGGACCCGGCCGAGTCACTTCTAGAAACTTCTAGCGTGATCTGGATGGGCCCCCATAGCCTTTTGCCTTGATGGGCTCTTGGCCTGACAGGCCGGGTCATCATCACTCAGCCTTGGCCTAGGGTAGACGCGCCGCTTGCAGGCTAGCCCTAGGCCTGAACCGTCGTTCCGCCCATCGAGGCATTAAATGCGGCGTCCCTTCGACGTCTTATCGCCTCCGATTCCTCCATTACGGAGATGCCGCGTGGCGGCCTCTTGGACTTCTTTCTCCCTTTAAAAGGCTTTTTCCTTCCATTCTTCTTCTTCAATTCTCCCACCAAGCTTCTGCTCTGTCATCGTCTTCTCCGCCTCAACTCCAATCTGTAAGTAATGTCTTCCTCTTCTCATTCTTCTTCTTCCTCCCGCGGGCCGTCCTTTGACAACCCGGCGGGGACTTCTCCGTCGTCCTCTTCTTCTTCTTCCGTCGTCCGCCGCCTGGAAATGCCGGCGGACTTCCAGGCGGTGTCTTCCTCTTCCCTCTTAGCCCCTTCTTCTTCTGGGGCGGCCACTCCGATGAGCCCAGCCCCGTTAACTACGGTGGCGGCTTTGCCGGGCGGCGTTGTGCGGCCGCGAGGCAAGTTTGACTCGGTTGTTCGGCCGTCCGGTCTTCCATCGTCGGCCACAGCGGCGGACCTGGATATGGCCCGCTTTCTGCTTGGCCCTTCGGCCATGGTCGTCGCGGCGGAGGGCCGGCCTATCCACGACCCGCCGGAGGGTTTTGTGGGTATCCATTTGCACTCGGTTGCATTCGGCTTCCGAGTGCCCCCACACCCATTTCTTTCGCTTCTCTTTCGGCATTATAACTTGGTCCCGGGCCAGTTAGTGCCTAATTCTCACCGACTCCTGACCAGCTTCATCAATCTCTGCCATTGGTGGAAGTGCGAGCCAGATTTGGACCTATTCCGGTACCTCTTTACCGTGAACAAGGTCGGCTCTCACTCGCCCGGCTTTATCCAAGTCGCCGCCTGTCCAGGGCGACAACTTTTCGAGGGGTTGTCCGACTCGATAAAAGAGTGGAAGCCCCTTTATTTCTTCGTCCGACCTCGCTCCTCTTCCTTCACCTTTCCGACCCTTTGGCCGGCGACTCTCTTCAAGCCCTGCTCTCGGCGCGTCGTCTTTACGGAGGATGCTGTCATGGGCGGCGACTTCTTGAAGGGCTTCGGGCCGTACTCCGTTAAGTACTGGTCTCGAGTCCGGGCCATGGCCAAGCATGGCCTTCTGCCGGAGGGCGCCGCCACCATAGGTAGCGTCTCTTTCCTCTTCCTTCTCGTCTTGCTTTTTGTTTTCTACGGGAGCACTCACAAGTGATCGTATTTCTTTTACAGGTTCGTACGACTCCGATACCTCCAGCTCCGGCGAAGCAATCGCACCGACTCCTGAGATGGCAAATAGAGCGGAAAAGATGAGGCGTCGTCTGACGCAACGCTCCACGGGTACGGCCGCTGCGTCCTCATCTCAGCCATCGCCGGCGGTCCGGCCGACTCCTGCATCTTCCCACAACGTGGTCGACCTCACACCTTCGCCCGTGGTATCGCCCAGTCGGCAGCCGCCTCCTCCCTCTACTGAGAGTCCGAGTTCTAAGCGGCCTGCTGAGCCTACGGAGGGGCCGGCTCCAAAGAGGATCAGGCTGTGCCACGAGGTGGACGAAGACGCCCAAATCTGGATGGGCAACACCTCCGTTCGCAAGTGGTGCAAGGATGTCTTTTTGCCAAAGGATGTGGAGTCGACCCGTGCTCTTGGCGACGGGTTCATCATCGAGGCTTTGCTCCGGCAGTCGTATCGTGTAAGTGTCAACCAGTCAGTTTTCCCTTCTGTTCGCTTTCTTTTTCCTTTTCCGTTTGACTGATAGTTTGGTGTGCAGGACCTCGCCCTCCAGATGGAACTGGGCAATCGGTTCCAGGGCTTCAGGAACGATATGCGGGCCATGACCGCCAAGCAGCGCCAGACAGAGGAAGCTCTTCTGGAAGAGCAGGCGAAGCAACTCAAGATGGTGGAGGTGCACAACGCCGAGCTGCTGAGGGTCACCCGTCAATGGGAGGAGGAGAAGGGCAAGGTGGCCACGATCGCCGCGACTTCCATCGCAGATTATAAGAAGTCAGCGGCCTTCGAGGCGGATGTGCAGGCGGCGGTGGCAGCTCGAAGGAAAGAGGTGGCCAAGGAGTGGCTGGCGACCCCGGAGGGCGATGACTTCCTCCTCGACCTGGGCGAGCGAGATTACCGCCTCGGCTTCCGCGAGGCGCAGATGGAGATTCACGCCACCTTGTTGGCCCGCAATCCCTCGTTCACTCCCGAGAGCTGGGGCCTCAAGCCGGTGCTGGACGCTGATGGGCCGACTGCGCCTACTGACCCGGCGACTCTTCCTGCGGCGACGCCTCCAGAGCTTCCCGAGTCCCTTCCTCAGGCGGAGGACCCTTCCTCTGCTCCCCTTGCTGGACCATCGGCGGGGGCGCAAGTTGAAGGGGTCGCCGTCGATACCCCCTCCACTGTAAACTAGGGTCTTTTTAGGATAGACCCTCTTTTTGTAAGGGCTGGCCTCCTTATCGGCCGTATTTTAATAAAGAAACAGTTTTTCCATCTCTTTTCACGGAATTTTGTCCTTGGGCTCTTTTAATATTGGCATTCTTCTAAGGCTTCGAACTTTGCTTTTTCCTCGCCGAGCTCCTCAGTCAAGGCGACTCTTTCATGCTTCTTCCGAGAAACGACTAAGGGCCTGGGCTCTTGTCTCCCAGCTCTTTCTCGCCGAGTCCCTCAGTCGAGGCGACTCCTTTCAGCTTTTTCTCTTGGAAGCGACTAAGGGTCTGGCCCCTTGCTTCCCCTCTTTCTCTCGCCGAGTCCCTCAGTCGAGGCGACTCCTTTAGGCTTTTCCTGTTCTCAGAAACAGTTTAGGGTCAGTGCCCCGTTGTTTCTTATATATACTTGCCGAGTCCCTCAGTCGAGGCGACTCCTTTTGGCTTTTTCACGGAAACGTCTAGGGGTCTGGGCCCTTGTTTCCTATCTTTCTCTCGCCGAGTCCCTCAGTCGAGGCGACTCCTCTAGGCTTTTTCTGTTCTCAGAAACGGTTTAGGGTCAGTGCCCCGTTGTTTCTATATATATTTGCCGAGTCTCTCAGTCGAGGCGACTCCTTTTGGCTTTTTCACGGAAACGTCTAAGGGTCTGGGCCCTTGTTTCCTATCTTTCTCTCGCCGAGTCCCTCAGTCGAGGCGACTCCTCTAGGCTTTTTCTGTTCTCAGAAACGGTTTAGGGTCAGTGCCCCGTTGTTTCTATATATATTTGCCGAGTCTCTCAGTCGAGGCGACTCCTTTTGGCTTTTTCACGGAAACGTCTAAGGGTCTGGGCCCTTGTTTCCTATCTTTCTCTCGCCGAGTCCCTCAGTCGAGGCGACTCCTCTAGGCTTTTTCTGTTCTCAGAAACGGTTTAGGGTCAGTGCCCCGTTGTTTCTATATATATTTGCCGAGTCTCTGGGGACGATTGACTGCAACCCACGCACTTTTATTCAGATTTCTTGGAGTCCTCGAGTTCGTACATGGCCTATCATGGGCTACTGATAAAACCTTTTCAAATGTGCTGCATTCCATATACGGTCTATAAGCTTGCCTTCCATGGTTTCTAACTTGTAAGTTCCGGCCTGAACTACGGTCGCGATGCGGTACGGTCCTTCCCACTTGACCGCGAGCTTGCCTCCTTCGGTGGGCTGGCTGGCTTGTCGATCCCGCAGCACTAGGTCGCCAACCTGGAAGGTTCGCGGGCGAGTTCTGCGGTCGCGGTATCTTTTCACTGCCTGCTGGTACTCAGCCATTCGCGCACTCGCGGCTTCCCTTCTTTCTTCTAGAAAATTTTTCTCAATCCGCAGGCTCTCCTCATTTGTTGCGTCCGAGTAGGTGCGAACCCGATGGGTGGGTTCGACCACTTCGACGGGAACCTTGGCCTCAAAGCCGTATGCGAGTGAGAACGGACTCTCTCCCGTCGCTCGCCGCTGGGTAGTGCGATAGGCCCAGAGGACTCGATCAAGCTCGTCCGCCCAGTTTCCTCGGACGTCCTCGAGTTTCTTCCGGATCCCATCGACCAGGGTTCGGTTCACATTCTCCACCTGTCCATTTGCCTGGGGGTAGGCCACCGATACCTTGGTATGCTTGATACCGTGTCGGTGGCAGAATTCGGCGAATGCCTGGCAATCAAACTGTCGCCCGTTATCGCTGACGATGTGCTCGGGCAAACCGTAGCGACAGATCACCTTTTTCCACAGAAAACGTCGACACTGGTACTCGGTGATGGTGGTCAGGGGTTCCGCCTCGACCCACTTGGTGAAGTAATCGATGGCCACGACGCAAAACTTCAATCCTCCCGGGGCGACGGGTAATGGTCCCAACAGGTCTATTCCCCACTTGGCGAAGGGAATGGCAGTGGTGACCGGTGTATAGAAGGTGGCTGGCCGAGTGTCTTTCCTGGCGAATGCCTGACAAACGCCGCATTTGGACATCCGTTCGACACAATCTCGCATCATGGTCGGCCAGTAATACCCTTGAACGACCAATTTTCGGGCGAGCGTGTGAGCACCCTGGTGCGCAGCGCAAATGCCTCTGTGGGCTTCATCCATTACCTTCTCGGCCTCAGGCTTAAGTAGGCATTTCAACAAGGGTCCTCCGAACGACTGTTTATATAGGTCTCCGTCTACGATCCGGAAAGAGGGAGCTTTCCGCCGAACCCTTGCGGCGACTGATGGGTCAGCTGGCAACTCGCCCGTTTCCTTGAATCGCCGGATGTCATCTATCCAGAACATCTCCGGGTTTTTCTCTCGATTCCACCCTTCGATGCTTACTTGCTGGACATCTAGCGGCGCCTCTTCGACGCTCGGCCGACTTAGCTCCTCCTTCTGGCAAATCTTTATTAAGCGGTCCGGCACCCCTTCCAGGGCGATTTTAGACAAGATGTCGGCCTCTACGTTGTCCGCCCGGGATATGTATTCTATTTCATAAGCTTCGAACCCCTTCAACATCTTGTTGGCACATTCTTTGTACAACGCCATCCTCGCGTTCTTAGCTTCGCACGTACCCGAGATCTGCCCAACTACTAGTCGGGAGTCGGTTTTGACTCGTAGCCGTTCGATTCCTAGACCCTTGGCGAGTCGGAGGCCATTCAATACTGCTTCGTACTCGGCCTCGTTATTTGATGCAGGGAACAAGTACCTTAGGGCGTAATACAGCCGAAATCCCTCCGGGGTGATGAGCACAACGCCGCCTCCGCAGTGCTGTCGACTTGATGCTCCGTCCGCATGCATCTCCCACCACTCGCCCGGGGTGCTTTCCGAGGCACTTTCCTTCTCCTCCTCGCTCGCCGTACACTCGACCAGGAAGTCGGCCAAAGCTTGGCCTTTGATGGAGGGCCTGGGTTGGTATTCGATCCCGTATTGTGTCAGCTCGACGGCCCACTTCACTAGCCGGCCGGAAGACATGGGGTTCCGTAGTACATTCCCGAGTGGTTGATCCGTCAGGACCCGGACGGTATGGGCTTGGAAATAAGGCGCCAACTTGCGAACGGTGACCACCAAGGCATACACGATCTTTTCCAGGGCAGTGTACCGTGTCTCGGCAGCTTTCAGTGAGCGGCTTACATAGTAAACCGGGTGCTGGACTCGTTCCTCCTCTCGAACCAGCACCGAACTTACCGCTTTGGCCGAGGCGGCGAGGTACAACAGTAAGGGCTCGCCCTCCTGGGGGTAGACAGTACTGGGGGAGTCGACAGATACCGTTTTAATTCCTCGAACGATTGTTGGCATTCGGCAGTCCAAGCGAATCCCTCTTTCTTCTTCATGGCTTCGAAGAAAGGCACAGTCTTATCCGCCGATTTGCTCAGAAAACGGCTGAGAGCGGCCAGTCGTCCGGTTAAGCGTTGTAGGTCCTTGATAGTAGTGGGAGGCTGCATGTCGAGGATGGCTCGTACTTTCTCTGGGTTAGGCTCAATGCCTCGTTTGGTGACCATGTAGCCCAAGAACTTACCGCCCTGGACGGCGAACGCACACTTCTTGGGGTTCAGTCGGAGGTTATACTTTATCATTACTTTAAAGCAGTCGGCTAAATCCTCCGCGTGCTTGTCCTCCTCTCGACTCTTGACGAGCATGTCGTCGACGTACGCGGCCATCGACTTTCCTAGCAGATGGTGGAATAACCGGGCGACCATTCGGGTGTACGTGGCCCCGGCATTTTTGAGTCCGAATGGCATGACTCGATAGCAATACACTCCATCCGGAGTTAGGAAGGCGGTCTTCTCCTCGTCTGCCGGGTGTATGAATATTTGATGGTACCCTCTGAAGGCATCCATAAAACTGAGCAACGCCGACCCGGCCGTCTCGTCGACTAGCTGGTCGATTCGGGGCAGAGGAAACGGATCCTTTGGGCACGCTTTGTTAAGATCTGTGTAGTCTACACACATTCGCCACGTCGGGGGCTTGGGCACAAGGACCACGTTAGCCAACCATTCCGGGTACTTGACCTCACGGACGTGTCCGGCTGCTAACAGCGTGCTGACTTCTTTCTTCACAAACTCCCTCCGATCGTTTGCCAAATATCGTTTCTTTTGCACGACCGGCCGGTGCTCCGGGTCTACGGCGAGTCGATGCGATATGACCGATCGATCTACGCCGGGCATATCTTCTGGGCCCCAGGCGAAGACCAGCCGGTGCTCTTGGAGTACTCTTGTGATTTCCCCCTTTAGCTTCTCCGAAAGGCCGACTCCGATTCTCACTCGCCTGCTTGGCTGCGCTGGGTCCACTTCAACTTCCTCTAGCTCGACGGCCGGCTCCGGGCGTGGTATCACTGTTTTCTTAGGGGGCCTCTCGGTGATCTCATGGACCTGCATCCCACGCTTGCCCATACCTCTACATGCCTGCAGATAGCAGTCGCGGGCGACCTTGCGGTCACAACGCACCGTTCCTATTCCGTTCGGCGTGCGGAATTTCAGGCACAAATGTTCGATTGAGATCAGAGCCCCGAGGTCTTCCAAACCCGGGCGGCCGAGTATGGCGTTGTGTGAGCAGGCTAGATCGACCACGATGAACTTCATGCTCAACTGCTGCACGTTCAGATAGCTGCCGATTTCCACAGGAAGAGTGATGGACCCTTCCGCCTCCACCGAGTCCCCGGTGAAACCGGCGAGAGGGGTGTTCACGGGCCTGAGCTGTTCTCGGGTCAGCCCCATCTTGGTAAAGGTCTCCAGGTACAGTACGTTAACGCTGCTCCCGGTGTCGACCAGGATTCGGCGAACGACCACACCGTTGATGTCCATGGCGATGACCAACGCGTCTCGATGCGGGGTTTCCCCAGATGGCAGGTCTTTATCGGTGAACACGATGGGCTCCCGACATGTCTTTTTGGAGCTCTCTTCTCGACCATAGACTGTTCCGACATATAGCTGCCGAGCCCAGGCTTTTCGGGTGTTCGCGGAATCGCCGCCTTCTGGCCCACCGACTATCATGTTAATGACCGGCTTCTGGCGCCATTGGGCTTCGTCCTCTTCGGAAGCCGGCTGCTTGCCTCGGCTGTTTTCTGAGTCGGCGACGGGTCCCTCACCTCCTCGACCGGTCGACCTTCGCTTCCATTGGTTAGGGGGCGGTGTCCCTTGCTGGATGATCCCCTCCATAATCTTCTTTAGATAGTAGCATTCTTCTGTGCTGTGAGTATAAGATTTGTGATAGCGACAATATTTAGAAGTCTTACCCGTATCCTCGTCCGCTGCTCGGTCGTCCCTCGGCGGAGGCGGAGGCGGGGCGACCGCCTGTACTTCGCGAACTGGTCGCTCTGGAACCGGTCGATAGGTGCGAATGACGGGTCGGTCATACGGTCGCCTGACCTCGGGTCGCCGGGCGGCATCCGAACGCCTTTCTCTCATTTCCACCCGCGTCCTTTTTCCACTGGCGGACCCACCGACCTCGCGCTGCCGTTTATGCTTCATGGCCTGCTCTGTGTTGGCCCTCCTATTGGCCATCTGGACAGCCTCCGCGTATGTCGCCGGGCGGTTGTCCCTTAGATCTCGATACAGCTGTCCGGATCGCAAAGATTCAATGAAGAAGGTGAGCGCTGTTTGGTCCTCCACCTCTTCTATCGACTGGATCTCCTTCTGCCAGCGAGCAAGATAGGCTTTCAAGGACTCGCCTTCATCCTGATGGATGTCGCCTAAGTGCGTCAGATCCTTCTGTGGCTTGATGTTAGCGGCATAGTGGCTCATGAAGCGGTCTGCCAGTTCTTCGAAGCTGTGGATCGACCCCGAGGGCTGACTTACAAGCCATCTTTGGGCGGGCCCCTTCAGCGTAGGTAAGAAGGCACGGCACATGACCGGATCCCGCACTCCTAGGACTTGCATCTTAGCTTGGTAACTCAACAGGTGTTCTCGCGGGTCGCCTGATCCGTCAAATGTGGCTTGCTCCGGGAACTTAAAGTCGCCCGGTATCTTGAAGGCCATGACCTCGTCCGAGAAGGGCAAGGCGGTTAGCAACGTACGCCCCGGGGATTTGGCTTTTCCCTCCATCCGTTCTCTTAGATTTCGTACCTCTTGTACTAGGTTGGCCACTTCGACCCTTTCCCGGGTCCGATTCCCCGTGGATTCCGTGCTTTCGCCGACTTCAGACTCAGCCGGTTGGGCAGGGTTGCGAGGAGGTTGCTCCACGCGGCGAATCTCAGTCCTGGCCCTTTTGGTTCGGCTCTTTTCTCGTGCAGCTTGTCGGTCGCGGACGACTAACGGGGCACGACTGGGCTCCCTCCGGCCTAATCGCTCTCTTGCCAACCGACGTCCGACGCTGGGTCCTAGCCGGGAATGAACGGACTGCACCGGCTGGCTTTCAGCCCGTCGGCTTAATTGCAGATTGTCTGGCCTCTGAGGCGGTTGCAACTCGCGTTGCAATTGGCGAGTGATGGACTGTTCTCTCGCTCCTAAGCTCGCTTCCGCGCAGGCGCGTCCGATTGCGCGCAACTGCTCCGGGGTGAGCTGTACTTGAGGTAATTGTGGGTTTCTCAGCGGCGTCGGCGGCGGTGTCGTCTCGTTTTCATGGCTTCGGGCATTTCTTCTATTCAGCTGGTTTCTCAAGTCGGCCTCCCGTCCGTTGTCTTGACGGCTCGACTGTTCCCGCTTCCAGCCATGTCTGGAGTTGGCCTGATTCAACTATTGTTTCTCGGACTCGCCTCACCCAAGTGGACACGTGACTCTTCGTTTCGATCCCCACAGACGGCGCCAGTGATGGTTTTTGGGTTTTCGGGCCCAAGGAGGTCCAACACAACCTATAGCTGGTGGATACACCTTTCACAAAAGGGTTTGAGTCTTAGTAGAATATGATGCTTAACAGTACTTGTCTATTCCCTCTCCGGGTCCTTGAAATCTGCCTCATACAAGGGCGGAGGAGCCCTCTTTATAGTGGCTCCTCCTCTACTGACTTAAAGGCTTATGATGGCCGACTTAAAGATTACATTCAATGTGCCGAGCTGTTGGGCGACGTTACGGAATCTGCCAACGGCTCTCTTTGGCTAGTAACTGGCGGACCGAGCCCGGCCTTTAATGCCTCAACGGCTCCCTGTCTTAACTGCGTTGAAGGCTCCCTCAACGGCTCTCTGGACCGAGTCCTCTCCTAGATCGGGCCTGGGCCGACTCCTTGTCCCCGTTTGGCATTGGGCCGCCCTTCCGGTTTCTGAACTGGGCCTCCCTCTTTGGATCTGGGCCGAGTCCTGGACTCGGCCCATGCATTCTTTCTGGGCCTCTTTTCTCGGGCCGGGGTTCTCACCCCATCATATGCATTTCTTTAATTTAGAATTATGTGTCTACAATGTTTTTATTCAAAAAAAATTATTCATTATCAATAAATTAAATAAGAGAAATAATTTCATTAGTTATATTTTCTTTATTTTTCTCCAATATAAAAATTCTTTACATTCAAATTCATTAATTGATTATATTCACTACATTGTCCTTACAATGTCTTTATTCAAAAAAATTTATTCATTATCAATAAATTAATTAAAAATAATAATTTCATTATTTATATTGTCTTTATTTTTTCTCCAATGTAAAAAAAAAAAATTATTTACATTCAAATTCATCAATTGATTATATTCACTAAATTGTCTATTATTTTTTTTTGTGCAGTGTTTTTTTTATATTAAATATCAAAGTTATAATACAAAATAATGCTATATATTTATTTACCAAGTATTTTATTAATACCATAAAAAAATTAAAAACTATAATTAAGCCAATCATATTAACTACTTGAGAGATTTGTTGACAAAGAGAGTATTCAAATCACACAACAAATTGAAATGGAAAACTATCTCGCAATGTCCTTGTTTGACAATCAGTAGTTAGCGGACTATATTAGTGGATTTGACCAGGAAATTATATCAACCGTTGGTAAAAATATATTTGAAAAGAATAACAGTTTAGATTAGCATGTCACATGACCTAATAATAATAATAATAATAATAATAATAATAATAATAATAATAATAATAATAATAATAAACATTGGGCATTATCCCAATCGCGCAATGGGCGTAAAAAAAAAACTAGTAATTTAATAAGAGTAAAATAGAGTACTAATTATGCCAATTTTGATAGGGATGAGATTCGAACCTAAGACCTTTTTTATTGAAATCAATGAGTAAGTTAACGGTGAACTAACAGAAATTAACGGAAAAGATAATATTTAACGGAAAAATTAACGGATAATCATATTCATTAAGGATAAATTAGGAAATCTTAAGTAAAAAATTAAAATCTGATCAATCTGAGCCATTCATTTGATTAAAAAATTTGACCGTCATTTTTTCTACCTATTATAGGCCTAACTCTCTTTTGGGCTCTTTTATATATATATATATATATATATATATATATATATATATATATATATATATATATATAGATTATTATTATTATTATTGTTGTTGTTACTATTAATGTTGTAGTTGTCCTCGTCGTTTTGCATTAATATTTGAAATTAAAAATAATATAACTATGGACAATTCAATACGAAAGCATATTACATTCATTATTAAACTTCAAACCACAGAATATATTGCTGATCTATCTTGCAATACAAACTAACTTATGTGCAAGTTAATGGTTTGTTGGATGAGAATCAAAGAAATTGATGGGCTATAATTAGGAGAATACCCACCCTATACACAAAGAGAGAACAAAAACTAATGCAAAAAAAAAAAAATAAAACTTCAACAAGATATATGATTGAATATTTTTTACTTAAAATCAAATCACAGATAATGGAACAATATTGCAATGGCTTATCCACCAAGGCAGCACTCTTCATCTTCTCATTCCCGCTCTTCCGGTTCTAATATTGCATGCTTGTTTTTCCTCTGCCTTACAGCATTTTTTGTCTTTAAGGTTCATACCCAAATTCCTCTTTTTAGTATTGTCATTGTTGATGTTTTCTTGCCTTCTTTCGTCATGCATGTCTACCATAATACGATCTTCAAGAAATACATATTATTAACATTCACGAGGTGAATGGCAAATAGAATAATCTCATTAAATTTTGGGAAATTGGGTTTATGATAAGTTTGAATTTTGTGTAGATCGATATTGTGATTGTTCAGAAACTATCAAGAGCTTGGCACGCCACAGAACACATAGCGATAAACCAGATAGAAGTTGATGGACCCAAATCACCCGAATCGCCATTCAAGTAAATTATATATGTTTAATTAATTCCCCTATCATTTTATCAAAAAAAAATTAAATTTTATTTATTGTTTGGGTAGTGCAGATTAGGGAATGGAAGTTTTCACCGTGAGTTTGTGCTGTCATGGGGAGATCACCATTGCAAGATACTTGAAGATGGGGAGCTACTTACCCTGGAGCTTGATAGAACTTCTGGAGCTGGGTTTGAGTCCAAGAAGGAATTTATCTTCTGCAAGATTGACATGAGAATCAAGCTCGTCCCCGGAGATTCCGCCGGCACTGTCACCACCTATTATGTAATTAATTAACTTCCAACCATATCCATGCATGAATATATATATATATATATATATATATATATATATATATATATATATATATATATATATATATATATATATATATATATATATATATACGCGGACGGTATAGAGGCGATTTACTCTACCGTGTACAATACTAGGTGTAGGTGGCTGGCTTAGGTCTTATGCCTTGCTTGTTTGTTTAAGTCTTTAGGCTCGGATACTTGATGTGAGGTTAGAAGGACCCGAGCTAAAGATCTCTTCTATTAAATGCCAAACGTCAAAAGTTCCCTCCCACCAGTAATAAATGATGTATTTATAGTTGTAGGTAGGGGGCAAATTTCGGTCTCTCGGCATGAAGGGCACACGTAAAGCCCATGCACAGAAGGGGTTCTTACACTGGTAATAAGGTTTCTGCGAGTAAGTATTGCCTCAGTGAGTCCAGGTTGGTAGTTGGCCCTCGACCTTAGTAGGTCGGGAATATACTAGGGGCTATTGGGCATCGGAGGGGTAATTATCATGCTCGTTTTGTATAATGGACCCAACATCGACTATCATACCCGTACTGAGAGATATTCCTTATATCATATATAATCAGGTGGGGTGGGGGGCAATTGTCCCAGTATCCCATTTGAATTCACCCCTACTTTGTAGTGTTGCTCGTTGCACATTGGTATGAGTTTGACCCGAATTAAGTTGTTTGAATGCAGTTGTCATCAGAAGGCGATCACCATGATGAGATCGATTTTGAATTCTTGGGGAACTCGAGTGGAAATCCCTACACTCTTCACACAAATGTATTTAGTCAAGGAAGAGGCGATAGAGAGGTGCAGTTCTTCTTGTGGTTTGACCCTACTGCAGATTTTCACACCTATACTATCCTTTGGAATCCCAAATCCATCATGTAAGTACGCTACAACATTCACAATTTACACATGTTCATTTTAATTCAAAGTCACGTTTTAATGTCAAACACCTTGTGCTCAGATAACATTCTCCCATGTGATCGAATCTCAGTATATTTGAACAGATACTACAATGTAATACAGTCAGTATCAGTAGTATCAGTAACGTTCAAAAAAAAATTAAATCACGTTTTAACATTGGATGACAGCTTCTATGTTGATGGAACACCAATAAGAGAGTTCAAAAACGCAGAGAATATTGGGGTGCCGTTCCCCAAGGACCAACCGATGAGGCTATACAGTAGCATATGGAACGCCGACAGCTGGGCTACGCAGGGCGGGCGAGTGAAGAGCAATTGGACTCTCGCTCCCTTCATAGCCGCCTACAGAAACTTCACATCCCAAGGCTGCGTTTGGTCCCGCCCGCGTAGATCCTCGTCCTGCAATTTCGACGACGCCGCGCTATCCGCCGAGAATTCCTGGTTCACCACGGAGCTCAACCGCTGGACTCGAGCCAGGATGAGGACTATTCAGAGAAGGCATATGGTTTATAATTACTGCACCGATAAATGGAGGTTTCGCCGCCGCGGCCCTGGCCGAGAATGTAGGTTTCGCTAGCCTCTATCCTAGGAATGGATGAATCTGGCTTCGATTCACCTCACTTTTCAAGTTTTTTTTTTTTTTTTTTTTGTTTCAATAAAAAAAAACTCTTTATTTTTCTTTCTTCTTTTAGTGGTATTTCTTAGAAAATTAAATAAGTTTTTGTAAATGTTGATTTTGTATATTAGTTTTCATTATTTTTGTAAAAGAATTAATACCTGTGGTTACTCGACTATTACGATTTACTTTTAAAAAAGTCATTTATTTAATTTTTTGCTCAATTTAGTCTCTCAATTTGTTAAAACGTTACAAAACAATGATTTTTCCTTTATTATATTAATTAATTGTGACAAAATTACAATATCCAAATAAATAAAAATTGACTCTAAAGCATACATGTCTAACAAACATAGAAATACAGAGTTTTGAAGTGAAAGACTTATAAAACTAAGTATTATCTCGACCTGTACATGAGTTTTTCACAAGAGGAATTTTATAGTAGTTAACGTACCTTGAGAGAAGATATTTCATATAGAAATGTGTCATTTACTTAACACACTAACAGGACGTTTGGTTGGAGGGATTTTAAATTCCCTTCCCACTTAATTCTCACATAATTCCAAAGACCATTAAATTCCGTAGTTTGGTTGGAGGGAATTGCAATTTCATGGAATTGCAATTCCTCCATTTTCATGGAATTAAAATCCCATGTCTCCCCCTGGGATTTTAATTCCTGGGAAAAAAAGATAGTGATGAGTCAAAATTACCCCTTTTTTTTTTAACCTAAAATTAATGTCTAACAACAATAATGGACATTTTTGACTTTATATTGCTTATTCCCTTTCAATTCCCATGTATACCAAACATTGGAATTGAAATTCCCAGTAATTCTATTCCTGTCAACCAAACACTAGAATTTAAATTCCCACTTTATTCCCAGTAATTCAACTCCCATGGAATTACAATTCCTTTCCCACATAATTCCCCCCCTCCAACCAAACGCCCTGTAAGAACATCCCCAATAGAAATTTTTCATAATTTGTAGAACAATAAAAATCTCAAGGTAATCCTTTCAAAAAATAAAAAATAAAAAATCTCAAGGTAAGGTTTTTAACAAATGTGGAGGGATGATTTTTTGTGTTTGAGTCTCCCTAATCCCTACAAATACAAATTTTTGTCAGATTTTTTTCTTTAAAAAAAAAAAAAAACAAGCAGTGAGACACGATTACACTACATGCGTCTCACTGACCAACCAGCACGCGCCCGCTGAGGCTTTATTTTTATTATTTTTACACTCTTTTGGCCGTTGCTTGCACAACAACGGCCACAAATTTTTTAATATAAAATTATTTTTATTTAACTTTATTGTTAATTTGTTTAGTTTATATAATTTGTTTTAGACATGTAGTATATAATTTAAATTTTAAATATTATATTTATTAGTAGTTTAATTTTATAATTATCATTTCAATTAAATGTAGATACATTAAAATATTTATAATTATAAAATTATTTTAATTTTGATATGTTTAATTTTGACCATGGTGTGCAAGATGCACCCTCTAAACTTGCCTACTAGGCTTGTGGGAAAGAAGTGTGGCATGCAAAGTTTCTATTCTAGACCTAGCGACCATGTTTACCACTCACCCGTGGCAAGGGCCATCGTATATGCAGGACACAACTCCACTTTGTACTTATTCTCTTCATTCTTCACTTCGTTTGAATTTCAGTACATCTCTTAGTGTCAGCTAACTAACTAACTAAACTCTCCAACGCTTAGACATCATTCTACTGGTCTCACTCGTTCTTATGCCAAAGTAGCTCCAACACATAATCAAGTAGGTTCAAATTCATGCAATTTTCATCAATATCATCTCCCCATCACCTAAATGACAAGAAGAATCAAATCAGCACACATGCACTTGACTTCAAATAACACAAAAACCATGAGAATTTGATGCCAAATATGGGCATCGAAATGGTAAAAATTGACACTTATTAATTATAAAATAATTGGAACAAATTATTTAAATCAAATCTTAATCAAATATTTTATTTAATAATTAATATGATATTCTATCAATGTTACAATTGATTTATATTCATTAATAACATGTGAATGGAGTGATTTCACCATGATTAATTATGTAAAGTCACATCAAGAAATACAAATTTTAATAAAAGATTTTTGATCAATATAACATTTGTTTCTAAATTTTGATACAAATACCTTTATTGACTAGTATCTTAATTCCTATACAGAGTTATTGTTTTAAATATTTAAAGTATGTTAGCATCGTGTTCACTTATTTACTTATTTATTTTTATATGACCAAAAATATTACTCCGTATTTTTTTTATACAAAAATCATTTTCTAATATTTACATTATTTAAGATAATTAGTGAATTGATTTATCTTACTATATGTTAATACAAAAATCAAAACAATAACCAAATTAAATATTTAAAAATTCAATAAAATAATTACATATTCATATAACAAATATTGTGGATAATGTTAGCATTATTGATTGTAACTTGTCTTTTAATTGACCATCCACCATTGAACAAAAATTATGGAAAAAATTTATGCACTAATAAAAATCTGGTTCATTCTAAATAAGTAAATAGTAAATATAATTGCATAAGTGAACTATATAAATTTGAAGTTCAAACATTATTGAACGTTGATGTAATTGAAGTTCACTCTTTAAAATTTATGCACTAATAAAAATTAATGGAACTTCAGTACGTCTCTTGAGTAGATACATATTAGATAATACTCAATACATTGAACGTTGATGTAATTTTTCAATTTCATACTAAAAAATTTTAAATGCATTTCATCGTCTACTTTGTTTGGCCATCGTTAAGAGTTCACATTGATAAAATAAGAGAGAACATATGTGCTTATAAATTATAAAATTATGTGTTAGACTAGCTAATTGGTTGGATTATATTCAGCCTTTTAGTGTGATTTGACGTATGTGCATTATATCTCAATTGAGTGACGCTAACCCAAACTTAGTTTATAACATGGTATCATAGCATGTTCGGTCAATTTTGTGTTCACCCGATTATGGTATTGGTGGCGTCTTTCAATCTTGTTGAGTAACCTTAGCCCACCCAATTAATGTTAGTCTTTGTATTCACTCGATTATGAGTATTGGTGGCGTTCTTCAATCTTGTTGAGTGACCTTAGCCCATTCATATCTTAATTTATAAGAGCCATCAACCTTAAATATTACCTTTTCATCTTTGGATCGGAAACCACAAGAAAATAGTAATTACTTATAGATTTGCCTACAAATTAAATTGTTACCATTTAAGTACTTACTAATTTCAATGATTTAGCTACGAAAATTCTTTGATAAATACCTACAAATTTCATTGACTTACTTGTGTATTTTTTTTCATTGTAAATTTAGTTTATCTTGGAGTGGAGAACCTACAAATGTTTCCTAAATTATTAAAACAACCCAAATAAGTTTTAGGCAAGTAATTATATAAAAGGTAAGAAATTAAATCATTTTAGTACAAAATTTAAATAATTAGGAAAAGTAAAGATTTAAAAAATATGTGTTTTACGTGTTATCAATTAAGAATGATTTTATTGAGTGTAAAACATTTTAAAAATAAAGGTTTTTATTAATGTGAAATATTCTACGCCATTATTAATACTTTTAAAATATTTTGCAAATTAAAGTCAAATATCTTATATTATTTCAAGCTGACAGGGAAAATCCTCCGATCCACTTGCATCATACTCGATCCCGTTGGTCCTACCGATCATCCTAGCTAGCTTATAGATTCATTCGGTTATTTTAACCTGAGTTCTACTCTTAAATTTTACTCTCTGATATGACACGTTCTCATAAACTATTTTTTTTCAGGTGGGTTCCAACTCTAAATACAAGTGTCTAGGGCGGATCTAGAAATCTTCTCTAGTGGAGGGCGAAAGATTAAAACTAAAAAGATATATATTTTGAAAAAAAAAATAAAACACTTAGAGATCGAGTCATAAATATTGTTGATTAGAGATGAAAAATCAAAATACATCAAGGTAAAAAATATTTAAAACAAAATATAAAACATAAATAATTAGATAAAATAGTTTGAATGGAAAACACATTATTATAAATCACTCATCTCACTATTAATACCAAAAGAAAAAAAAAAAGTCACAATGTTAGAAATAAAAAAATTCAATTAGAATTCTCACTATTATTATTAAAAAATGCCAAAAATAAAACTTCACCCATTGACTATTTCATATTATGTAGAAGCCTTACCATCTAAGCTAAAATTAGTTGTCTTTGTTTAAATTTTGGTATATTTAATATATATTGATATACAATATATATGGGGTGGGGGAGTGGGGCAGCTGCCGCCACTATTTACATCAAGATTTTGTATGTGAAAGTAAAAGTTAAGAGTACACATAGTATTTTTCGGTTATATGCATGTACTTTCATTCTCTACTCTCAACTTTTATTTCTAAACTTAAAATTCTGATATAGACACATTTACATGGATGGACACGAAGAAAATCATCTATCAATGTATGTCACATCATGAAGTAAATTAGAGGGAGTAAGATTTGTGAGTATATAAATGTAGTAGAATTTAGAGAAAAGAGCGGCAGAACTCATTGGAGAAAAGAGCGGCATGTGTATATGTGTAGTTTATAGGAACAAGCTAAGTGAGTAAAGATAGAATTATGTTATAGAGACGATAAAACTTCTCCTAAACAAATCAATACTTAATTTAATCATGTTTAACAATCGCAGAATAAACTAAGTAATGGCATAATCTGTGATTTCCTTCCTCATTTATTATGGAACTTCTGCCCACCCATCATTTGTCGCACCAAAAGAAAAATAGAAACAAAGGAAAAAATAGGGTAAAGAAACAAAATCACTTAATCAAAGCACTAAAATTATGACTTTCCCATTATATACCATATTGGATAGCCATAAATAAGCAATAATCACTTTCTTGAAAACACTAACCTTTGGCAAGATTCCCATACTTACTGGCGAAAAAATGTTCATAAGGAAGAAGGAGACGCGAGGCCGGCAAAAGATCGCCATCAAGATGATCGACAACCACGCCAGCCGGCAAGTGACGTTCTCGAAACGCCGGTCCGGAATCTTCAAGAAGGCCGGCGAGCTCTCGGTCCTCTGCGGTGCCCAGGTGGCGGTCGTCGTGTTTTCCCCGAAGGGAAAAGTCTTCACCTTCGGCCACCCCAGCTTCGACGATGTAGTGCGGCGGTTCCAAACCGCCACCGAAGCGCTGCGGGTGCCGCAGCCGTCGCATCCGGCGGTGCAGGAGATTAATGTTCTGGAGGAGGAGAGGAAGAGGCTCCTGGAGAACAAAGATGGGAGTAAAGGCAATGTGGCGGCGGCGCAAGAGAGCGGGAATGTGCTTTGGTGGAATAGAGATATTGATGAAATGGGGGGAGAAGAGCTGGTGGCTTACACGGCGGCGGTGGAAGCTTTGAAGGCCAATGCTATACTCAAGGCTAGGGATAGGGTTATTGCAGAAAGATTGGAAAATATTGAGGTAGGCAAGGTTGGGTATTCTGATTTGTTGCTTCCTCGCAGTTCTGATTTTTCATTGGCAAATTTCTAGTGTTTGGTTTTTAATTTGTGTGAAGATGCAGTTCGTATGACTCATGTTTTATTTCCAGAATTCCACCATTGAACAAAATTGATTATCCATAATAATTTGAATTTAAATTGAATAATGTTCATCACATATTTGAACTATATATCTTTTGCATTGGTAAACCTAGGTGTTATATTTTCAATTTTAATTTGCTAGTGATGAATAAGTTTAAATTTTGTGTCCCGAAAGAGGTGGTCTGGTGAATGGAGCCAAGGTTGCAAAAATCAGTCTTGGCGTCCCTAGACCGATCGTGGTGATTTCTCCCGGGCGCCCGCCTAAGCAACCGACCGCTTAGCGCCTAACTCGACTGACTTGGCCGCCTAGGCAATCGCCTAGCGCCTAATTCGACCAAGTTAATTCGTCCAGATTGAGTTAGCTGAGTTAACCCGGTCGGCTCGGCTTTCTTTTTTTTTTAGTTAGTCGCATAGGCGCCCGTCTAGGCGCTAGGGTCTACTCTACCGTCCGACTAGCGACTAGTGCTTACTGCAACATAAACATGTTTATATGTCATATGTGGGTGATTTGCATGCTATTACAGTATATACATGAACATAATTTATACTGTGCACACTATTGAGTTTCCATCGTAGCCAAAAAATGAAGTTATAAATGTTGATTTTTTCAATGTACCAATTATTAAAAGCATGGTGTAATTGAATGAGTGATACTACGTACATTCTATTCATTGATTTTGTAGGGTAAATATTAGGAGTAAATTGAAGATAGGTGAATTGAATACCATTTTTCTATTAGAATTACATATTCATTAGAAGCACCCATTAAAGTAAACTTTTAGGGTTAAATTGGTTCATAATGAACTTGGGGAGTTAGGATTAAGAAAATCACAATTAAATTTAAGATTCTGTATTAGAGATCATATTCAATGATTCTGGATTACCGTTAAAGTTTTAAGGTGTTAATGTTTAATCACCACAATACATAAAAGCTCAACAAGCAATTACTAGATGGAAAAGCTTATTCTTTGTTGAGTTTGAGTCTGGTCAAGAAAAAAAAATTAGTTTTTTCTTAGGGGCATTATAGGTTCTAACGGCTAGTGCCAAATAGAGAAGTATTCCCTAGAGGTAGGTGTTGTACGAGGTCCTACCTCACTCACCACCAAACGAAAAAACTCATTATTAGTCAAACCCGAACCTTGGTCAAGAATATGCTAACGTTTTCCTCCCGGGCGAGCCCAAGTTGCCGAATGTGAGATCAAAGGTGGAGGGGTCGATCCAATCTTGAGGCAAATGTTGTTCGACCCCAAGGCAATAGCCATGTTTGATCTCAAGCCACTCTCTATTGACCCCGAGGCCACCGATCCAGTCAAGGTTAGTTGAGGCGATCAAAACGCTTGGTCCCTAACCACGACAAATTATTTTGTAGACTCGGATCTATCTTGGTCCAGGGTAATAACAATTGCTACTCAATCAACTGTGCTTTTTAATAAATTATTTAATAGTCAAAAGCTTAGAATTCAAGTTCGGTGGACTCTACGTAACTGACTGTGCTACTCAATCTTCTTGCAAAAATACCTAATTAGTTAAGCCAACGTTAGGTTCCATTCCATTCCTCTCTTTTATTTATTTATTTATTTTTTTGGTAATATTTCATACAAGAAATAACCAAATCTAGTCAAAATTTGGACAAACAAATATAAATTTTGAGCCAAGTAATTTATGCTCAGTTGGTATCTTTGTGACTTTTTTTGAATGAAAATCATAGGGTCAAATCCTAGACTATACACTAGTTGTTGTTGTTGTTTTTTTTTTTTTTTTTTTTTTTTTTTTTAATAAAAATTTTTGTTGGACATCGACTTGGAGAGCCGACTTGCCACCAAAATATTGTGATGCTTGATCAATAAGTATTAAAAAAAAAAAAAAGAGTCTCACATTTGCTACTAGCTATAACTTTTGGTCTAGTAGTAACCTTTATTTGATAATTGGTACAAAAATTTAGAACATGCATGCGAATTGTAACTTAGTCACACTTGTATGTCTGTGAGATGGGTCAGGTCGGGTCAATATAGAATTGCAATACTTATACTGTAAAATGTAAATATTAATAAAAAATAAAATATTTGCTACTTATAATATATATATATATATATATATATATATATATATATATATATATATATATATATTGTAAAAGTATTACATTTTACCTCAAAAGTATTATACTTTTCTATATAAGTAATGTTGGCAAGTGTTAGTTATTAATAAGCGAAAATGTAATACTTACGAGAAAAATGTAATACTTTTAAATCAAAATGTAAAAGTATTACATTTTTTTTCAAAAATATTTAACTTTCTTATATGAGTAATAAACAGTAAACACTTTAATTATTCTTGATTAGTATTACATTTTTATCTTTAACTCGACACGTATCACTGCCAAAGATTCGTGAAACGATTTCGCACCGTTACCGTAGTATTGACAATTTCTATAATACTTTTTTTTTTATTATTAAATTTTATAAATGAATGGTTTCCAAGCACATTCCCACGTGAGTAAAAGTCAAAATGGTAAAGTGTATAGTGGGATACACATTATATATATGAATCAAAACCTTCAGACGAAAGAAAGTTTGTGCACTTTATCATGATCTGATCTCCTCTTTGTATATTCAAATGCCCTCTTAAGTTAATTTCTACACTACTTCTCAATCTTTCCACGAGACATTAACAATGAAGCCAAATACATCCGGCGGCCGTCGATATCTCATCGTTTTCTGCTTCGCCGTAATCCTTTCCCTCTGCGTTCTTGCGGCGATCAACGAACTAGAATTCGACAGCCTAAAGAAGTTGGGAAAATGCGCATTTTCAAACCCCCCGCCGTCCGGCAATTCTTCGACGACGAACGCCACATTCGCCGCCGGCGGCGACGACGACGAGATCCGAATTCTCATCGGAATCCTGACCCGCCCGGACAGCTACGACAAGAGGCACTTTCTCCGGCTAATCTACGGCACGCAGTCGCCGGCGCCGGGCGCGAGGATCGACGTCAAGTTCGTGTTCTGCAACCTCACCAAGGACGACCAGAGAGTCCTGGTGGCGCTCGAAATAATGCGCTACGGCGACATCATTATACTCGACTGCAAAGAAAACATGGATAACGGCAAGACCTACACCTACTTCTCAACCTTGCCGGAGCTTTTCCCCGGCGGCGACTCCTCCCCCTCCCCCTCCCCCTCCCCGCCGTACCATTACGTGATGAAGGCCGACGACGACACCTACCTCCGGCTGGAAAACTTGGTGGAGTCTTTGCGGCCATTGCCGAGAAAAGATTTGTACTTTGGCTACGTTATCCCGTGCCCGAGCATGGATCCTTTCGTGCACTACATGTCCGGCATGGGGTATTTGATTTCTTGGGATTTAGCAGAGTGGATCAGAGATTCTGAAATCCCCAAGAAAAATATGGTCGGCCCTGAGGATAAACTCTTAGGGGAGTGGCTCCGTGACGGCCGGCGAGCGAAGAACCGGTTCAACGGCAAGTGGTCAATGTACAATTTTCCGGAGCCGGCGACGCAGTGCACACACGAGCTTTGGCCGGAGACCATTGCGGTTCATTTGCTGAAGACCCAGGAGAAGTGGATTCGGACTTTAGAGTATTTTAATGTCACTGTGAATTTAAAGCCCTCTAAATTATATCATATACCATAGTAATTAATCACTTGTCAATTTTATTTTACACAATTTTTTTTTGGTAAAATTGTATTGTATTACTCCAAAAGTCCAAATTCACGATGATAGTTACAAAAAATTTGATTTGAAACATTATGATAAAACCATCCATTTGATTATATTCTTATATCATGTACATTTTAACGATTTTTGTATATGTATATTTTTATTTTTAATTTGTTAATGTAATTTAACTCTAAAGTGGTCAATTACATTTTATTTTCAACTCAACTCGAAGAAATTAATTACAATCCTGCCACTAACATCTAGTCTAGTAGTTATATATAAAGGGGGAGAAAGAGTTAATCTTAACTGATAGCCGTTGGTTGATTAGGTTAGTTGTTTTTATCATATGGCAGTATTAGTGGTTTGTAAAAGCATATTTGATAAATTAATTATGAGTTAATACTCAATTTGGTTCCTCAACTATTAGGATATTACTATTATTGACTTCTAAACTTGTTAAATTTCATCCTCAATTATACAATTGTTAACCAAAGTGGTCCTCAATCAGAACTATTTTGGTTTGGACGAATGACTATTTTAGATAAAAATTACAGGTATAGTTGTGTATGAAATTGAAAATTTTGAAAGTCTATGACCAGAATGGTGAAATTCTAATAGTTGAGTGGCCAAATTGGGTATTAACTCAATTAATTATTTACGGTTAGTTTATAATTAACATGCAAAATGACTTATAAATACATAATTAAGTCTATTGATTTTATATTTTTTTTAAGCAAACAAATATAACTAGATTAAATTGAACGTTTATAACTTAACAAAAAAAAAAAAACAATACAATTAGATGCTCATGTTCCAAACCAATCTAGAGAAAATCTGAATTCTAGGAACATGAATGTATTACCATTACTAGTTTTGTAAATTAGTTCAATATTATCAATTAAATGAAAGGTTCGTACCAGGACTATGTGGTCTAATGGTACCCGGGTTGGACTTCCATTTGGAAGGTTGTAAGTTCGAGCCTCAGTGGAGGCGTTATTAGCTCTTTGTGTTTCAGTAGGTTGAGAAAGTATATGAACAGATACTACAATGTAATAGAGCTAGTAGCATTCAAAAAAAAAAAAAAAATGAAAGGTTCCCGCTAGTAGCATCACGTGATTTAATTGTTTATATGTATAAGGTATTTATTTAAACAATTAAAATTGTCTAAAAAAACTATGAAATTCCCGATTTATGAACCGAGCCAATAATGACGAGAATGGGGAATTAAAATTTCCCCCCGTTCCCGTTCTCCTATTTTAATCCCTATCTCCGTCCCTTCTCCCCATTCCCGCTCCCGTTCCCCTATTTTAATCCCTATCTCCGTCATCATTGAGGCAGGGAGTCGGGTTCCCATTCGCGTACGGGTACAATTGACATCACTAGGATTATTCAGACATAGTTATGTTGTTATTTATTTATTTAGGTAATGGAACCAGGATAACATTAGTGTAAGTGATATTCTTTGGTTTATTGTTATGAAAATTGGAATGAAATTATGAGACATACTTAGTAAATGAAGTGAAATGATATTTCATGGTTCATTGCTATGCAAACAAGATTAGTGTTCTTGGTTCTCTGTTCTACCAACTTTGACTGCTACAATTTTTGTATGGAATGCAACCAAACAAAACAACCATTTCCAGAACAAATTGTGTTTAGTGTAATCCAACCAAACTTTGAAGGTTCAATTTCCTATACAATTTTTCCTATATAAAAACCACAATAATTATAACCATTCCAACAATTCCAAATCTTACTTCCTAAATTTCTACTTCCTGATATGGCAGACACTAATAAGTTACTTCTTTCATGTGGATCCCAACACAAGTGTCTACATCAAAATTTTGTGTATGAAAGTAAAAATTGGTAGTAAAAAATGTGAGTACATATAGTATTTTCCTTCTAACCGGCAGAACTATATATATGTTCTTCATTGTAGGTTCAACACGCGTTCTTCAAATTTCTTGAATTTGTTTAGCCAGCCTTTGAATTTCTTTTCATTGTGATTCATCCTCTTTAGCAAGCTATCAACATTATCATTTTTAATATTGAACACATTGGAGGATCAAATCACTCGAAAAAAGAACAATTATTCCTTCCCTATTACACACACATTGTTTCTTAATATAAACTATACTCTACAATTTTATTTTAATTTTTTTTAGAAACGAAAAACAAGCTCAAATTTATCCATAATACTTACCATTTATGTGGAGTACACTCAATACTTACGCCCCGAATTTTGATTTGTCCATGAGATACACAACTTCATATTGTTTCCACATCCACATACCCGGTCGGGTATCCACTCTCTATAGTGGCGTTGTAGAGCTTGAGCGGGATGAAGCCTTAGTAGAGCACTTTATTCATGCATCAATAAATAATTTTTTAACTTTTGAATGTGTTTTGTTACCGATGTCCATCACTTCGGGACCATAAGGAAGGACATGAAATTCAAATCATTTCTCCTTCAATTTAACGCCACTTATACAGATTAAGTAACAAAATATCACATAATGTCACTTTTTGATACTCAAAGGACAGTCACTCATCAATTTAATAAAAATTTAGGACCACAAGTGATAAAATTACAATACTCGAACGGCCATTGAAAGTATTAACTCATTAAAAGTTTTATTTCAAATAAAGATTATATTTAACATTCGACCACTTATCAAGGGGTAACAACAATAGTTGTCTTAGGATGGGATTGAGATCAACATACAATAGTGATAAAGAAGTATCAGACAAGAGATGAAAAAACAGAAATTGTTTAGAAAGTCATGGACAGAAATTCTATCAATCACCAGAAGAACACTCCTTATTTTAACTCCATAACACCAGAAATACAATTAAATTCTAAAAAGCCATGTCTGAATCTTTAAGTACCTATTATTATACAAATCGCCCAACTCAAGTTGATCAAAATTACAAGCCACAAAGCCTTCGTTACATAGAGCAAGCTCCAATACTGTTACTGCATATATAGAATTGAACAATCCATTACACATCTCTGGAAAAGAATTTTAACATAGACATAAGTCATTATATATTAAACAATTTACAATCTCTAATCCTGTGAGACCGTTTAACGGATTCTTATCATAAGACGAGTCGGACTAATATGAAAATGGAATACTTATACTAAAAAATGTAATGTTAATCAAGAATAAAAGTGTTTGTTACTTATAAGTGAAAGTGTAATACTCTCGAAGAAAAATGTAATACTTTTAAATAAAAAAAATGTGAAATGACAAAATATTTCATTTTCCTTCAAAATATTATACACTTTCTCTTTAAGTAACAAATACTTAATTGATTAATATTATATTATTCAATATAAATATTACATTTTCATTTCAACCCGATTCGTATCACGGAAAAGCAATGTTGAAAAAATCGCTAGGCGTCCTCTAAGCGCATGGGGACTGCCTAGGGCGCCTAGAACCCCTAGGCGGGCGCATAGAGCGCCTAGGAGGCCAATCGCCTAGCACCTAGGCGCCGATTAATTGGCGCCTAGACGCGATTTTTGCAACACTGCGGAAAAGAATCCGTGAGACGGTTCCCCACAAGGTTTTATGATGCAGATGCAATCACACATACATACCAAGTCCTCTTCTGCAGACTGCCCCGCGTGAGTATATGAGTCTGGTTCAAAATATTCAGTCCCATCAATTTTGAGCTATGAAAAAACAATGCAAAACAGAGAAAATAATATGAGACAATATATTATTAGAAACAACTAACCCATCATCAAACACAAATTAAACTAAATAATTAAGAATGAACCTTAAGACTTCCCCTCCAAAGCTGTGGCATTTTTTGGATCAACTTGGCAGAAGCAATGAGTGAAGGGTTACACCTATCCAACTCAATTGAGTCTAGAGTGAAACATTCTGCAAACACATCAACTGAGATCTCTTGTAAACAGCAACACACCCTTAGCACTAGATGCTCAAGACTTGGGAAAGATCTATGTTCAACTAACAACTGCTCAAGTCTTTTGTCTTCAAGAAGTAAGAATCTTAATTCATTGAATTCTCCTTTAGCCACTCTCCATACTCTTTCCAATAAGGCATTTTCGAGCTTGAGCACCCTAAGTTCGGGCAATTCCATGCCAATTACTTTCAAGTTTGTCGGAGAAAGATTAGTCCCACTCAACGTCAACTTCTTCAATTGTGAAGGAAACATACAGGGCTCAGGAAGGGTTACAACGCGACCAACAACCCGAATTGAAATCGTTAGCCTTTCAAGATGTTGTAAACGGTAATATTGATCATCCAATATGATGGGATTGCCAAAAGATTCACAAGTAGTGTTGTGATTGGGCTCCTCCAATTCTTGTTTATAGAAAATTTTCAGTTCTTTTATGTATGGACAACGGAAATACACTTCCTTCCAGCAATGAGTTGGATCCACCACCGAGCATAGTGTTTGCAATTTCCTTTTAACCACGCTTGGAGGATCTACCATATACATATCCCCGAGTTCAAGATGTCTCAATTTTGGTAACTCCCAAATTTTTTGTGCCAAATGGATGGTAGGTGCTTCAATTTGTGGTTCATTACTTGAAACAATAAGTGTTTGCAAATTCGAGAAAAGTGACACTATATCACCCAACCCATCATACCTTTCACTTATAGATAGATATCTCAAGAAAACTAAATGACCCAAATGCATTGACACCCTTTGGAGGAATGGAGATGGAACAAAGGCCAAAACTCTCAACAACTTGAAAGGCACAAAAGTTTCAGGATCATCATCAAAGAAGAAAATAGAACGAGGGTTGTTTGTGCTATACAACACATAATAGTCGAAACTATGTGTGTATAAACTTAACCAGCGACACGAATTTGCAAACTCACTTAATGGCAACTCTGGGTGTTGCAACGTATTTATTGCACAGAAAATACCCTCTTTTTGAGATTCTCCAACACAGAAACTATGCAAGGCACTATGCATCCTACAAGTCTTAATGTTGCCATCAGAACTCCAATTGCATATTAAGACAAGGCTTCTATCAATAAGCTCTTTTAAATATGCATATCCTTGATTTTCGAAGTCATCATACTCTAATGGCTTTAC